TATAAGGGAACTAAGTATTCCCAAGAGTTTAAAAAAATGTTTTCACATTTGAACAAGAAAGGGAACATCGCTTCCAAGAGAGCTTTTAATCTAAGTTTTGAGAGTTCATTTCTCAAAAATCTATAAGGGAACTAAGTATTTCTAATAGTTTAAAATGTTTTCACATTTGAACAAGAAAGGGAACATCGCTTCCAAGAGAGCTTTTAATCTAAGTTTTGAGAAATTATCTCAAACCAAAGAAATAAGTTTGTTTTAAAAATATATGAGCTATGTATATTTTAGGAGTAGTATTGAGCACCGATTTGGGGATGCGATTTCATATTAACTCAAGTCTCCATATATCATGTAGCCATCATGGGTAGTAAAGGATCATACTTTTTAGATGACTCCTTGAGTTGCTTTTTAGCATAGACTAGTGGATAAACTTAGTTAAGGTATTCTATATGACGGCAAAGTATAGGACAGTTGTGGCAGCGTGGGCAAGACGGTGTATCACCACTTAGGCTCATGTGGTGGTTGTCGCTTAGAGAATCTCCCACAGAAACTATATTACTGTAGTATATGAGTAAAATTGAGTTTTTTATTGCATTTTCTTTAACGAACTAGGATATTTTCCACTGTTTTACAAGCTTTCTATATATTGCATATGTTTTATTGCTTTATATTGAGTTAAGTTGTTCAGGAGTTGAGTAAATCCAAGGTAAGTGTTCCTTTTACACTCTTTTCAAGCCTATGTTGTTTCCAACTCGCATACTCATACATTCAATATACTGATGCCAATTGACCTGCATCTTATTATGATGCAGATTCAGGAAACCAGGATCATCACCCAGCGCCTCATTGATCCAGTTGAGCACTCAGAGTCAGTTGGTGAGCCTCCTTGCATTCCGGAGGACTCCTTTTACTTTGCTTTCAGTATTTCATTGTTAGGATGATCGGGGGTCTTATCCCGACATCCTTGTTTATTTTAGAGGCTTCATCGACAAATAGTATTAGTTCCCTAAGTCTTATTCATTTCATTTGTATACGTTTTAAGACTTGAGTTGCCGTTTTGGCTAAGATATTATTTCTTAAGTTATTGCATGAGTTATACTTCTTACGTTTAAGTCTTTCGCTGAGTAAGTATGCCAGGCCAAGGGTTCGCTTGGGGCCAGCAGTAGTTTTCGAGTGTCAGCCACGTCCGGGGTGTAGGCTAGGGACGTGACA